ACTCAAAAACATTGTTGTGCTGGTGTTCCCCGCCCACAGCTAATTGACCTTTAGGTAATTGGCTAATTGGCTTTAGGGAGCTCTTGAAGCGATTTTGAATCTGATGTATTTGTTGGTGTTGCTGACGCCTGCTTCACTGACATAAAAGCTAAAAAAGCATACTCAGCATCGCAAAAAGTGGGGGGGTCGACACCCCCAGTTTTCAAGAGTGGGGGGGTCACGACCCCCCCGACCCCCCCCCGTCGGCGACGCCCCTGGGTTTAAGGAAGGAAGTTGTAACTTGTAGGTACAGGTATAAGGTAGAAGGTAGATAGGCTGTAGGCTGGTAGGTAGTCGGTGGTAGGGTAGAAAGTAAGATTAGGTTAGGTAATGATATTTTTCTTTCATTCAGACTTCTTTAACACTTTACGCAAGAGTAAAAGAGTAGAAGTCGGAATGATGGAAAAACAATTAAGCCTGAACCAAACTCACATAACTACTAACCTACAACCTACCTACAACATACCAACACAAAGCAGAAAACCTACCAGCCTACAACCTCCCAGCTTACAACCTACATACCAACCTACAACATTTTTTCGGAGGATCCTTGGACTGGTATACTTTTACTAGCTCATGAAAATTGAAATTTGTGCTCTTCTAGGGCTCAACAAATTAAAATCAAAATGAAAGTTGTGTCAATATTAACAGTAAAAACATCTATTCATTGACAACTTTGGCAAGTGTTTCAAAATCAGGCAACAAATCCACACAGCCTTGCTTTTGATGCCCACCGGGCTAGCGTTGTTATATCCAACTTACAAGTACCTAAACCAGCAAAATTAGACAACCCAAGATTCCTTACTTTCAGTGTTATGTCCTGCCTTGCTTAAAACAGAAAAAAATCATAACCACAATACAACAGCTCAGCTTTCATCACGGCGCCAGTCCCTTTCTTGAAAGCATTCAAACTTGTTTGAAAATTGGACGAGCACTGAATGACTGAGCGCCACTCGCGAGAGTCCACTCCTGTTTTGCTACGTGTTCATGAATCACGGTATACCTCTCATAGACGTGCGCCGAAAAGGCCCGCTCAAAATCTTTGATGCGTTGGCTCCTGGGGCCTACAAAATCCACAGTGAAGGCTCCCTGGCGGCTGGGGCGTTAGCTCAGCGTTGTCCCCTCGTGTCACCAGCATCCGATTGGTTCGCTCAGGGTTATTCTCGCCGCGGATTGGCTGGTTAGTCTGTTCGCTAGCAGTGTGCGAAAACGCCGTCAACAAATGCGATGCAGTGCGTTCACCATTTTCGTGACTTTGTCACCAAATGTCTCTGGTGCCTGTCAGCTTCTGTCGCCTACAATGTAAGCGAGTAGGAAGTTTTTTTGACCTCTGGTGGTTCTGCTCCCCGCCGCGCCGGCGCTCGCCGCTCTCTGGCGCTGTCTCCACTCTCCGGTGGGCAGCCGGGTGTGTCGGCTCCGACGCGGGGCGCGCGGCGCGTCGGCCCGTTCCCAGCCGCGCCGCCGTCGCCGGGAACCCGGCACCCCACTCTCTCACGGCCGGCAAATTTTTCTCACGATCACGCGAACATTCTCAGGCCCGATAAAAACTTCTCAAGAAATGAATGACAGGAAGCAAATTGTCGAGGGAAAATGTGGGCCAGGCTGTGTCCGGTGCGCGGAGGCGCGGGTCGCCGCGGGTCGGCGCGGGTCGGTCCGGGTCGGCCCGGGTCGCCGCCCGCTGGGAGACCGCCACCAGAAGGTCGCAGCGGAGCCGGCCGACGTTCTCAAACCATTTGGCGGCGCCCACGGTGGCGGCGCGTCGCCGTCGTCGCGCGCCGACCGCTTCCGGCCGCCGCCTGGGAAGGCGCGCATTCCCAGCCCACTAAAACCTAATGGTGTGCGGCAGCCAAGGCCGGCGCGATGCGGCCCCGGTACTGATCTATATGCGTGCCCGGAGTCGGCTCGGCGTCCGACGGTGGTGTATTACAGAGATCACGGTCTGCCACCTCACAGCAGCCCTGGCCGTGGTGGGACATCCCGGACCGTCTCCGCGGGCGCCCACGTCCGAACATCGCGGGCCGAGTTTCCGCCGACGAAGTCGCGTGGCGCGTCTAACTATACCTCTGCCTGTGAGCTCCATGAGCTCTGAGCAGTTGGACCTGTCACCGGGTCACTATCCCGGTTCGACCGTACTATTTACCGTGTATCCTATGGAAGTGGGAGTGGGGGGTAGTGGAGTTGGGAGTGTTGGGAGTGGGGAATGTTGAGAGTATGGAGTGCTGGGAGTGCTCGCGAGGTCGGGCGGCTCCGTCCCACGGTCCCAGTGTGCGCCGGCCCTCAGAGCTCGCTCCCAGTGCTGACGGAACGCCCGTCCGTACCGGCGCGCTCTCACAGAGTACACGCAATTAGACGGCAGTGCACGAATAATATCCGGCTCACGGCGCCGGCGCTGGGACTGGCAGACTGCCTGAGAGAGTGGCGCCCACTCACTCGTGAGAAAGTGCCAGAAACATGTGTCAGCCTCAGCCAGCGCGTCGGTCCGTAGGCCAGGACACTCGGCGATCGCCCGCAGCCAGCACCCCAGAACGGAGCCGATACTACGGAGACGGTGTGCTCCTGGCCTCTTCTGTCCCTGCCCCTCACAGCTCGACAATTTTCGATGTCGATGCGCAGAAGCGCATAGGCGGCGGAACGGAGAGGGCACCGGGGCACGGTGCCGCGGTGCCCCCCCCCCCCCGTTCCGCCGCCTATGTCGATGCGATGACCAAGTCAGCCACGTCAGCCAGCCGAGAGATCGAGATACCGTAAAATTGACACAATATCTCGGCCTAAGTTTCTGATGCTGGGATGTAGAAAAAGTGATCAAGGCGACTGACTGCCTAGATCGGCTCTCCCTCGGGCTGCTGTTGTTGCATTGGTGAATGCCCGGCCCGCTAAAGGGCCCCTGCCGGCAGCTCTGCAGGCCCACTTCCGTCGGCGCCAATCTAGGCTCGCTCGGGCGGTCCGTGCCTCCGTCTCACGGTCTCCCACTTCTCACACCGGCGGAGCCATTTTTGAGGATGGCCGCCGCTCGGCTTGTGGTAAAATCGTGATTCTGCGATCGACTGGCGCCGCACCGACACGCCGCCGCCACCGACATGTGAGAAACTGCGTGAGAGTCAAGAGCATGATTGGGGGTTCAGCCGAGCTCTCACACAGGACATTCACAAAGATCATATAGCCAGATAAATGTTCCCATGAAACATCCCACCAGGAGCTCACGAACATTGGCGGAGCCTTTTCAACACATGTTTTCAGATGGTATTTTATATTTAATATCCTTGTGATTCATGGGGACCATTTTCTATTCCCGATAATCAGCGTGCACCATAAAGACGGCTCCATCGCGGTGTAGGGGCCAGGCTAGGGCCCTGGTAAGGACACGGGGACAGGCTGGGGACGTGTCCCCGCTATTATAATCTCGGGTCATTTTTTACGATTGTGGTTCGTCCGGTCCAAGTAGGCTCCTTCCGGGGCTAAAAAGTGAAAGGATAAAGCTTAGGGGAGAAACTGGGCTGATATGGACTGCAGCGGCTGAGGCCGTCCCGCATGAAGAGGAGGCAGGTCATCCAACCAATATCAGACAGGGGTGTACTCATGCGGTATGCCCTCACGGGTTGCCCGGTGACAATTATCACCAGTACCGATCGCTGAGCGAAAAACCTGACGGCGAGATGTGAAAACGCCTTCAAGCCACTACACCAAGTGTTTGTAGAACTGATCAACAGTTATCGCTAACAGCTGTTTACTTGTTCCCGCCGACTCTTACAGTTCTATCGAGCGCCGAGCCCCACCTATTCCCCACGACTGCCGTGACCGTGATCGGCTACAACCCCAGCGTACAGAGGTTCCCACAGATGTACGACGAGGCTGTGGGCGCCGCTGACACGCCGACCGGGGCGCCGGGCGCCCTCAGTCGTGGGAGGAGCGTCGGCGTGCGCCATCTCCGTGACAGGAATGCGCTGATTGCCGGCCTTGTACAGCGGACAGGTCAGCCCCGCAGACAGGTTCACATGGGATCCATCCCGGTCGGACCAATCTGTCTCACGGCACACCCGATCAGTCGAATGTACCCACACTGTCCTCTCATGTTGCAGACACTGTCCGTCGAGGGGGGGGGGAGATAGAGGAACGGAGCGGTCAGCCGAGAAAGGGAACAATGCGGGAAATTATCTTGAAACGGTAGAGTCAAGGAGCACCAAGCAGTGCAAAGATGGGAAGAGCAATTGTAAACGAGCGGAGCCAGAGGATTGGCAGAGCGGCGGGAGAGGCGGAGAGGAGACGGCCGCAGCGGCGGGGAGTGCCGGGGTGACGCGCCGGCCGGAGGTCGTGGCCGGGCGGCCGACCCGCCGCGCCCCACGCCGGCCGTTCCCACGCGTCCGTCCGTCCGTCGGTCGGTCGGCTGTGAGGCCGCTGAGGACGCCGACGACCAGCCCGGCAATCGGAGACGCAGCGGCCGGCGAATGTGCGCGGTCATCTGCGGCGCCCGCTCCCACAGAGGAGACGCATTCAGCGCACTTCATGGCAGATCGAGTTCCATTCAACAGACCCAAGGTCTCCTGACGGATGGCGTTTCGACGGCCGAGCCAACGGACGAAATGTAGAGAAAGCCAATACCAATTCAGACACTCCTAATGAAAAATTATCCAAGTCCGAGGCCACACACGAACTAGTGATCTGTAGTTCCATGGAACTGCCGCCAAATAAAACATACATCTTCGAACAGAAACTATGATTTCAAGATTGGCGCCGCCCGACAGCCGGCAGTTACCCAGCAAAACCGCAAAGTTCAGCATTGGTCATGGCTGGGAACATGCCAGGTCATTGACGAGTCTTACCAGCAACATATGTCTATTGACGTTACCGCTAATGTAATCTGACACCTCGTTCTATATAAGACATTGGATAAAAGGGATGATCACTGCTCAGTACTCAATGCTCTTCTTCTAGCACTCAACGGCCCGACTAAACGACATTAGCTCTGGGATTCGATGTATTTCCTAGCATTTCACAGATCACATTACCTAGTAAAACGACCGGTCGGACCGGGACGTGTATAAAACACCCGGCCCGATTGGAACAGAGCCGGCACGTGAGGCGGGAGGCGGGTGTGGTGAGCGGCGGACGGAGACCGGGGCCGGCGCGGCGCCTCGGCCACGGCAGCGGTACACCGGTCCCGGCCGCGCCGCTCCTATCACAGAACCATTGTACGACAGATCAGCGCGCGGCCAAACGAGCAAACGGACCGCACCGAAAATATCATCACAGCGGCTAGAAACGTACAAAACTTTGGCCATCAAACATAATTCGGCAACAAACTGTCGTCTTTTTCACGGCCTGGGTGGGGCGGTTTTGGGGCGTGCCACGATCGTGTTTTGTCATGCTCAGTAAATGCCGTTGAAAATGCTCCTAAACACGTCGTCTCACAGCCGTTTCTGACACTCGGCCGCCGCCGGCGGTCCCGGGGGCGGCCCGGGGCGGTGAGTATATCAGCGCTACTGCATCAGCGTGGCTCGAGGTAGGCCGGTGCGCGGTGCCGGCGGGGCGGGGGCGGCGGCAGTTACAGGAAGTAGGGCGTGGTGATGCTGGGCGGCACGCGGCGCTCGTCGTCGGGCACCGCGCGGAATATCTTCACCTCGCGGCTGTGCACGTCGTCGTGGAAGCAGAGCACGGCGGCCACGTTGCCGCAGCGGTAGCAGTAGTTGGGCGCCGACCACACCGTCACCAGCTTCTCGTCAAACACGTACTTGTAGCCTGGGAGCGGGGAGACGGGCGCTCAGCGACAGCCCACACTCGGCGCGGCACGGCGAGACCGGCAGGTGGCGCGGAAAGCAGCACGTAGTGGGTACAGGTGACGCCATGAGCCGGCGAATGGTCACTCGGAGAGCCTTGGTCGAGTGCCAAGGCTAAAGACAGACAGAAGCAGGCACACAGAACCAAGCCATCTGTTCCGTCGTTTCCATCCTCAGGAGTCAGGACAGTCAAATCCTTCTTCTCCACGCCTCAACCTCCTGTTCCGGATTGGACGGGCAACCTTAGTCTAGCCCATGCGGGGTCCTCCCTTGGGAGCAGGCCCGTATCCGGGTGCGGTGAGGGTCAGGGGGCTGGGTGGCCCAACAACTGGATGGACTCAGCCCCGACGACTCACAAGGGTGCCCGCCCAGACCAAAATCTACCCCTAAATCCTATCAGCCTTCTGGCTCTGAAACGGTCTCGTTAGACCGAAAGGGCCTAACCCAACAAAACAAATAAAGAAACAAACGAGATATAGGTTTGCTGTGTACTCACCCTCGTGCACCAGTTGGTGGGCCCGGCAGATGAGGTCCAGCTTATTCTCCTCCATGAACTCGTGTGTGACGTTGGCGCCGAACAGCCAGCCGGCGCCGCGCGGACTGGTCGACCAGGTGGCCACGTCCTCGGGGTCCGACCACACCAGGTCACAGAAGGCACCTGAGGGACAGCAGGGTACACCAGGTCACAGAAGGCACCTGAGGAACAGCAGGGTACACCAGGTCACAGAAGGCACCTGAGGGACAGCAGGGTACACCAGGTCACAGAAGGTACTTGGGGGACAGCAGGGTACACCAGGTCACAGAAGGCACCTGACGGACAGCAGGGTACACCAGGTCACAGAAGGCACCTGAGGGACAGCAGGGTACACCAGGTCACAGAAGGCACCTGAGTGACAGCAGGGTACACCAGGTCACAGAAGGCACCTGAGGGATCACTAAAATTAGCTCTACTGTAACGGCTAAGATCATACATCATACAATCGACCTATAAGGTAGGTATGAGTTAATCTCCAGAGATTTCCAGGATTTGATCACTCAAGTCATCTCAAAGCTATTAGCTAATTGTGGAACTGGATCGCGTCACGTCTTCCTGCAAATAAGCCCAGTAACCAGACATGCTCACAGTTTCGGTTGATTTTCTGTGAATTGCGACGATCAAAACGCTAGATTCAAAGGTAAAAACAAGCTTTAAGAATCTGCTATCTACGTTTAAAAACCCATGCCCACCGCAAAGGCTAGCTACTCAAGAGGAGTTGACCTATGACATGTAACTCATTTGATTTTCTAATTACTGGGACACATATCGACCAGCCGGTGTCCCTATGTGGGCTCTCCCAGTCCTGAGCCTGCAAGATCCACACCAGGGCGTCATATGAGCGCACCACGACAGCATGCCACTATAGAGCAGAATCGTGGCGGGAAACGCAGTTCTGACACGTAGCCTTGAATACTTCACAGAATATCGCCGGTCGCCGGGTCAAACTCAATGTCAGGTTAACAACCACCTACGCGTGCTAGCCACCTACGCTAGGTGTTCATGGGTGCTAGCGTCTGCTCACCAGAAAGGTAATGCAATACGTACATGTGATACACTTCATGATGAAGCTCTACTGCCGACAGTTTTCACGGACATGTGTGTGAGCTCGGTGCAGTGGCGGTTGTCAGCGGACGGGAGCGGGGGCGGCAGTCGCGTGTAGCCCATGACTTCCTGTCAGTGATGACCTTCGCGGCGCCCGTGGGCGGTGCGCCGGTGCACAGGGGCCCGCCGGCGGCGCGGCCGCAGTGTGCCCCAGCCGCCGCCGTCGCCATGCTGACCGCCATCTCGCTGCTGGCGCTCCTGGCGCCGGCCACCGGGTTCGCCGCGCCCGAAGTGGAGATCGAGCTGCCCGCGCTGCCCGGCCTGCCGACGGCGCCGCCAATGCCGCCGCTGCACCTGACGCCGCCGCAATCCAAACCCGGCAAGGACAAACACGCAGAGAAGTCGTCCAGGAGGACGGGACGCGGCGGCCCGCACCGGTCCGGCGGCGAGCCGAGCGCGCAGTGGAGCAGCGCTGGCTCCGAGCTGGCGCTCTCCTCGCGGGGATCGGACTCCGCCGCCGAGGGCAGCACCGCCTCCTCCAGCACAGCGGCGACCCGGTGTCGACCGGCGGGCGCCCGGTCCGCCAGCAACTCCGGGCAGCGGGCGGCCGGCGCCAGCGTCGGCAGCGCCGCGTCCCTCTCTGAGGCCACCGGCTCGGCCGGCACTGCCTGCGGCGCCGACCGGACGGCCGTCCAGGGCGGCGCCAGCACGGCCACCGTCGGGGACGGCGCGGCCACCTCCGGGGCGCAGCACAGCGCGGGCTCCGACAGCGCCGCCGACGGGCGCGGCGCCGCCTCCGCCACCTCCGCAGAGTCCGACAGCGGCGGCGCGTCGACGGGCTCCGCCGGCTCTGGGGCGGGAGGCCGCTCCTCGGGCCGCGGCGGCCGTGACGGGGCGAGCTCTCGGGCCGGCGCGCAGACGGACACGTCTACCGTCGGCGAGGGTCGCGCCGAGGCCAGCCAGCGGGCCGCCGCGTCAGCCGCGCGCCGAGGGCGCTCCCGTTCAGCGCGTTCCGAGACGGGCGCGCGGACGGTGGGCGGCTCTCGGACGGCGGGCGCCGGCTCCTCCAGCCGCGGGGAGTCCAGCGCCGGCTCGGCTTCCAACCAGGACTCGGACGTGGCCGCCGAGACCGAGTCCAGCCAGCGGCTGGCGGCGGCGCGGACCGGGCGCGCGCGCGCCGCCGTCGGCTCGCGGTCAGCGGCGGCGCTGGACCGAGGCGGCGCCCGGCCGGCCGGCGACAGTCGCTCGGCGTCCCAGATCGACTCGGAGTCGGCCGGCAGCGCCAGCAGCGACGCCGCGGCCGGCGGCTCGTCCGGCCACTCCGCCGGCGAGGGCAGCGGCTTCTCAGAGACCGCAGTGGCCGGCAGCACGCGCCGGACCGGCGCCGCCAGAGGCCAACACGCCTCTCGCGCGCGCGGCGCCGTCAGCCTGGCACCGCAGCGGCCGCAGTGGCCCTGCCGTCAACCAGCGAAGGAGCCCGAAGGCTGGCTGGACGACTGGCCCAAAACGAACGAGCCCGTCTGGCCCTGTGAATTGCCCGTCGAGCACATCGCTCCCTTCAAGGCTAGAAAACCAACCCCAAAGCGACCGAAGTGGCCCTGCCGCATACCGCAAAAGAAGCCCAAAGAATGGCTGGCCGACTGGCCCAACACGAGCCATCTCGTTTGGCCCTGCATCTTTCCGATCGATCCCGTCGCTCCGTTTGAGGCCAAACCTCTGTTTGATTGGTAGTGGGCGCAGCCGACGGTGCACTCGCTCGGGGAAGGGGATATACTGATGGCGCAATCTATAGCTCAGACAGCGATAGGCCGCTTCGTCAAGAGGCAGGCTGAGCCACATAATTCTCCGGACTCTGAGCCGGGAAACTCCTACAGCGCACAGCTACTGTCACCATTCTCCTGTTATTGTCTGTATGTTTAACTGTGTAATACGTGTTTCCGTTGATAAAGCTGCCACGTCGTACAAAGAGCTTTACATGAACACAAAAAGTGCTTGTAGATGCCGGCAAATAAATATTTTTGAACAAGCAGCACAGTCAAAAAACGCTTTTTATTTTAGATTCTTCATAACCTTTGGCCCAAGGCCAGGGAGACCCCTACTAGAGCGAATACTACAAGTGAATATACAAGTGAATACTACATCAATTATATGACCAAGAATCTAGAAAATGACATGGTTACAGCAACGCAGAAGACATCTGTTGCAACCACAACTAACTGAATACCCCATAATTAAATCGGTCCGCTATTTGTCGATGAACGGTCACCGCCACTGCAGATCCAAAGGCCATGTTTGCACAAAGCGCCACTTGCAACTCTCGGATATCGGGCCCGGCAACTCACTAAGTTACCAAAAGGTCACACCAGCGAGCGGCGGCTCCCGCCAGTGCCCGACTGGCATTCGGCGACAGCTCCCAACTGTCGGCATGATGCAACACTCACCACTTACCCTGTAACGCGCGGGAGTTGTGAAGGACAGTTGTCCTGAAAGGTCCCAATCGAACTGAGCGAACTCTACCTACGTCGTTTTGAGGTATCCACATTGGATTGCTGGCTTACGTCAAAGCATGTTAGCCGGTTATTGTATAGGAACGACTCATCTGGCTTCAACTACCTCCAGGTCAGGGGCCATGGCTCACCTTAGCTCACAGAGCAGACTAGCTCTCAGCTCACCTTGGTGGGGGATCTCCTGATTCCGGTCGATCACGCGGATTTGGTCCAGCGACTTGATGTACGGCGAGAGGCCTCCGTGAACGCACAGCACCTCGTCCTCCACGAGCTGAAACCGGCAGCGCACTCCCGGTCACAGCACATTCAATGTGAGCTTAAAGCCTCCCAGTCACAACACTTAGGTGGACTGAAACCAGCGCGCACACCCGATCACAACAAGCAAATTAACACATAAACGTCTACGTGGGCGAGTGTCCTGGGTGCTATCTTCTATCGTACCAAGTGATCATTTGAATGTGAATCTTGTACAGATAGGTCAAGTGAAAGGACACATTAAATTATAAAGTTAATAAAAATTCGCAACTGTAAGCGAAAAAAAATACCGACTTACTAAATATATAGACGACGTAATTGATTTCCGGGCTCCGGCATATAAAACATCTTTCCTCTTGGTATACTAATCAGTGTTCCATTGCAGCATCACAGCCACCTAACACATTCATTCTAAAACTTAACTTTTTTCACATCTGATAACCTGGAACACAATACCATGGAACGTCCGCTGCCGTGGGGTCTGAGGGATCTCACTGGCGCCATCTAATGCCAAACTAGCGTCACCGTGTGCCGCCAGGACGCCACCGAGTGCCGCCACCTACCGCTGCGATGGTGAGCACATCGAACACCTTGCAGCAGTACTTCCACGCGTTGGCGTTACCGTACTTCTTCTGACACTCGTCTGAAAACAGACAAACAGCCGCAGCTCTCGTAACTGTGCACAAAACAGTGTCACCATGCGCTTAAAACGCCAGGGCCAGTGACAATTGCATTGCTTCTCCCAGCCTCTAGGCATTAATTCGTTTCATCGGAACGGTCCATCATTCCATCCTATTCGGACGCCTGGTTGATGCAGGAGCAAATGACCCATATGCCATTTAGGTCTGACAGCGAGTAAGATCATCCATCCATATGTCCTCAGGATGGCGCAATATCGACAACAAACACATGCGAACGGCCGTAAAAAAACTCACGGCCTATCACCCTCATCACTGCAGCCAGACGTCTCTAATGTCTGCCGCTATCACCGCGGCACTCGCCAGGAGACCGAAAAAGCCAACGCAGCTCACATAGCTCATGAAAAGCATCTGCAAGTTGCACAACACATGTAAGTTGTAACACACACTACGGAAGCCTCATTGATTCCCCGCGCTCACCGCTTTCGACTCGCCGCGCTCACCGTAGAATCCGTAGACCTGCGTGATCTGCCGCGACTCGTGGTTGCCCCGCAGCAGCGTGATCTTGTCAGGCCACTTGGCCTTGAGCGTTAACAGCCGGGTGAGCGTCTCCAGGCTGTAGTAGCCACGGTCCACAAAGTCGCCCATGAACACATAGTTAGTGTCTGGCACCTGGGCACATAAGAATGGACAATACACAAATCAATTCACTGGTGGACCACTGTCAAAGCACTGTTCTTAAATTCAGAGCAAATTAAAATGCAAGAGAAAGCAAGATAGGCTTACCTGGCCTCCTGTCTTGAAGAGTTGTTCCAAGTCATAGAATTGCCCATGGATGTCGCCACAGACAGTTACAGGACAAGGCACCGGCTGTACATTTGACTCTTCCATGAGGAGATCACAGACAATGTCACACAGACTCTGAAACAATGGAAGGTATTTTATGAGTCACATGGTAGAAAATAAGGGAAAAGTGGCTTACACATAAGTCACAACTTTTGCACAGAACCCATTCATTAAAAAATTCAAATGATATGCTGCACTTTAATCATTTAAAACCATGCAGGGATAATTTTAAAGAGTAATTTATGGCAAATAAAAAATAACTAATGAATGTGTGCCTTTAATATTAACAATTTTTTAAAAATTAGCTTGGCTTACAGCAAACATCTGCATGTGCCACCAGGTCAAAGTGAGCCAATGAAGAAGACCAGCAGCTTCTATACCTTGAATAACCAGCATTAGTAGAGCAGATGTCACACAAAGTTTTTCCAACCAAGGAGAGGTGCTGAAGGTTAGTAGGTTGTGGGTTAGGTTAGGTTAGGTTAGGTTAGGTTAGGTTAGGTCAGGTTAGGTCAGGTTAGGTTTGTTTTGGTTTGGTTTGGTTAGAAAGGAGCATCTAAATCTCCAAGCATGGGACCACTCCTTGATTGGATTTTTTTTTTTGTCATTTGTGTGACATCTGCCCTACATCAGATATATGCCCTACATGCCCTGCCCTATGCCCTGCCCTACATCAAATATATCTGCCCTATATCGAATACCCTATGGGCTGGGGACCGAATTGACAGCCTCAATTATAATGTTAATGCTATTGCAGCAGCAGGTAGCATTGACGTACAGATCTGTGCTGTACACTTGGCAACTGGCACATGTGGTCAATTAGCTTATTATTTTACCCAATACCATTCCCTGAAATAACCTTTTAAAAGAAAATGATATCAACTAGTTACTCACCTTGAGATCATTCTCCGGTAAATACTTGCAGTCTTTTACAATTTCCATCCACTTATCAACATCTGATGTAGACATGCTTGATATCCTGATTAATTACTAAAATCAAGCCTATGAGCCAACACCTTTCCCAATGGAGGTGAGAGCTGTCAGGATAGAAAACAGAATGTCAAATGTCAATCAAACTAGCCAGAAATGAGACAATATAAACCAGAAAATTAAAATAGGTAGTTATCCACTGGCAGCCAACACAAACAAATCCACATCAGCCCATACTAGTATACCACCAAATGGCACCTGTCAAAATTGTTTTTTATGGCACAAGAATTCACATAACTCAAGGCAGCTGAATTGAATTGAATGAATATGAATTGATCAATTAATATCACATATTTCCAATACACTGTCTTCTTTTTCCCTCATTCCCATCCAGGCAATTCAGGGCTTCCAGGCATGGTTATCACTGTAAGAATCTATAAGAATCTAGATATATAATCAAGATATCTGCGACTTCGGTAATAAAGGGCAAAAATAATGAAAACCTCAAGGCCCTAAAACCAAACACCTTGACCTTCTCTCATACAAAAATCCCTTGCCCCACCTTGCCCCACTAATGTCTCTTTTGCGCCGATTACGTAACGTGATTCAAGGATGGATGAATTACAGATGATTGAGCTATAATTATTATTATACGAGAAAAAACAATAGTACTGCATTTTCTTTCCTCTTTGGTCATTCCCTTGCCAGATCTTATAACACTGAGTGCTTATTTTGTAGGTTTCTAGTTTTGTGACTTAGGAGTAACTTTATTGTAGGTAGGTACTTCGTATTTTTGGGAGAAACAGCTCCCCAAAATTGAGCTCCTTCAGATGCTTTGCTGCCTTTACCCAAGCCTTTACCTATTCATTGATTGATCCCTAGTGTTTCCCTAGGAATGACCAAGATCAAGGCTTCGACCAAGATATGGCGTCAAGCAAGGTATATAAAAACACTGGCGTCAATCTGGGGAAGGCGGATTTATTTTAATGTGAACGTTTTTTAATTTCATAGCCTCATTTTCTGTACGTCACATGCGCATGCGCAGTTCTTCATATATGGTGGACGCCATTTGTGTGTCGTCATTGGTTGCGGGATTGGCGTGGTAGGGGTTGTGTGGCCGATTCGGTGGTGTCGAAATCGTTCTGGGTGTATCATATAGTCAAATCAAGATGGTTTGATCAAGAAAGTGGAAGTTGCATTATTTTTACAAGAAATATAGGCTTGTAGAGCATTTTCTGTTACAATTTGCCTGTTTGTATCGGAAATCCTTGCTGTCACGTGACTCCGATGGACCAATCAGAGGCCTCCATTTCCGAATTCTGTTGCGTTTGTGCTTCGGCTTTGAGCGGTGGAGCGGCGGCCATTGTTGTGAGTGAAATGTGAAAGTCGTGAGAGTTATAAGGAATTTTGCCGAGATAGGGATTTAGTTTGTTTTGCCCCTATTTATTCAGCGTGCAATGTATCCGTCTCCGGTGTCATGAAGTGACGGAAGGGACCTTAAGCTGCACGTTGGTGGCTGTGGCGTGGATTCTTTCGACGGCGCGGCATGGCCACTGAAACGTAAGTTTGTGCGGCTGTTTGTTAACATGGATTGACGTGGTTGTGTAGAATGATTGGTAATAAACAGTCAGAAAGTGTCTGCGAGTTGTGTGCCGGGGATTATTGAGTTTCAGTTGATTATGGGCGGAGAAACCGGGTGAGGAAAGAGGGCAGGATTGGCGGCGAAGTGGCGCAACGTGGTTGAATCAAAGGAAAAAGGGAGGGTTATTGAGCATAATACTTATCAACGAAACTTATTATTTTCATGGGAGATCGATATAAGGTTCAGGGATTCTGAGAGATGGCCGTTTTTCAAGATAGGGGTGCTGTTATTCATTACAGCATGACTGGCCTAGACGATATCGGCGCACCACGTTTTATCCAACACTTATCTCTTCATTTGATAGATTTATTCCATTTTTATGTTGAACATGTTGATCAGTTATGCCTTCTTACCTTGATACTAGTTAAATAGGTCATTAAAATATAAAATTCATTGTTCTGACTTGTTATTCCATGAGCTTTGGGATCTCGTACCTTGAACAAAAATTCACTACTTTCAAAATCCTGTGGTGTTGTGAAAATGATTCACTCAACATTTTATGAATTCACAAGGGTGCTTGATGAAATGCTGCTTATTGCAGCAGATAATTATGGCAAATCTCATGGCTTTTAAAGTTGTTTTAGAAACCTGTAGTACCTACGCTGATGTATTTGGACGACTCGACTGTGAAAACAGGGCGCCTGGGGCGATTTGATCAAGACTCTTGCAATTCACTCTCACAAATCACGTGACAATTACTGTGTTGAAGGCATTGAGAGGGGGAGAATTTCTCAATAGTCACGTTACTAGATATGCCCTCCAGCATCCATATAATTGAACATGGTACAGCAGGTTTAGGTTTAGGTTTAGGTTTTACTAGTGGGCTTGGGTAGACCGGGTCTATTCAGGGCCCACATCCGGATAAGGTCAGAAATGACTCAGTGAGGATTCCTTGTGGCCCAGTGGTGGTCCAACCGGTTTTTAAAACTGTTCGTAGTCAGTGCCGATATAACTTCCTCTGGCAGAGCATTCCAGGGGGACACCACACGTTGAGAAAAGAACATCATCCTTGCATGGTGGGTCACTCGTTTCTTGGTCAGCTTGAGGCAGTGTCCTCTGGTTCTCCCCTCCTGGCTCTGCTGGAAGAAGTGCTCCGGCTTCAGCTTCGTCTTCCCCGTCAATATCTTGTAGGTCTCGATAAGGTCTCCTCTCCGTAGGCGCTGTTCTACACTTGTCATACCAAGATTGATGAGTCTCTGCTTGTATGGTACGTTCTTCATCCCCTTCACCATCTTTGTCGCCCTTCTCTGAACTTTCTCCAACGCTTTGAAGTTTTGCGCCATGTACGGTCCAACCGCTTGGGCACAGTACTCGATGTGGGGTCGGACAAAAGCGTTGTAGAGTGGCTTGAAGTTTCTCCTGCTTATTGTGCGGAAGGTCGCCTTGAGCTGCTTCAGGGCTGACATGCCTCTGCTGGCTGCCATCTTGCAGTGTAGTGTCGGCTTCAATGTATTTTCCACAATCACTCCCAGGTCTCTCTCTTTGCAGGTCTCTTCCAGCGACTCCGAGGTTCCGTCCTGTGTCATATGGTACACTCTTCGAGGATTTCCTGTGCCGCAATGCATCACTTTACATTTGGATATGTTGAACTTCATCAGCCATGTCTGTGACCAGTGCGAGAGTGTGTCCATGTCTTGTTGGAGTGCCTGTGTGTCGTTGGTGCTGGTGACTGCCCCATACATTTTCATATCATCAGCGAACATCTTCACTCTGCTATGTAGTAGTTCGGGAATCTCATTGACAAAAAGCAGAAACATGACCGGTCCCAAAACCGAGCCCTGTGGGACACCGCTTGAGACGTGGGCCCAACTTGAGTGGCTACTACCAACCTTCACCTGCTGCTGCCGTGCATGTAGAAAGTCTATCAGCCACCTCAATACTCTACCCTTCAGACCATAGGCACTTAGCTTGCGATACAGTCTCTTATGCGGTACGGTGTCGAATGCCTTCTTGTAATCTAGGTATACGACATCCAGTCCCTTACCCCCATCCAATATCTCCGTCCACTCCTCGAATGACTCCAACAAATTGGTTTGACACGACCTCTTCTGTAAAAATCCATGCTGATGCTCACTGATGATATTGTGCTGCTCCAGGTGCTCAACAATGTGTCGCTTCAGTATCCTCTCCATGACTTTGCACACCTGTGAAGTGAGGCTGACTGGTCGGTAATTACTCGCATCACACCTTGCTCCTTTCTTAAAGATGGGTGAGATGATTGCCTTCTTCCAGTCCATGGGTAATTGTCCACTCTCCATCGACTTCCTGAATAGCAGGCACAGAGGCTTGGCTAACTGGTCCGCACATGCCCTGAGCACTGCGCTGGGCACTTCATCTGGGCCTGGGGCCTTGTTTGGGTTCAGGTTTCGCAGTTCCTTGAGCACTTGCTCTTCTGTTACATCGATGTCGGTCATTACTTGGTCACTGTCCAGACGATCCGGGAACTCTGGGATGTCACCTCCTCTTTCCTCAGTAAACACTGACTTAAAGAATGATTGCAGGACCTCTGCTGCTTCTTCATCTGTCTCCGTCAACTGGCCTCTGTTGTCCTTGAGTGGTCCGACAGCTGCTCTCACCCTCTGCTGTGTCCTGATGTAGGAATACAGCTTCTTTGGTGCTTGTTTGAGACTGCTTGTAATTCTGTTCTCATAGTCCCTTCTTGCTTTTCTTATCTTACTTGTCGTCTTATTTCTCTGCTGTACAAAACTCCTCCAATACTCTGTGCTCTTCGTCTCCACATATTCCTTCCAAGCTTTATGTTTCTTCTTGACTTCTCTCTCTAGGCCCTTGTGCCACCATGGCGCTTTGCACTTCTTAGTTCTTCCTGTCTTCATCTTTGGAACATGTTCCTCAATCATCCTCTTGAGTTTCCTCTTGATGCAATTCCAGGTTCCTTCTGTATCCATGTCCAGCAAGATGTCGTCCCAGTTAACTTGTCTGAGTGCTGCAGACATGTTGGTATAGTTCCCTTTCCTGTAGTTGAACTTTGTCTGTTCATTTCTTCTCTCCCCATCACTATCATTACCATACCTGAATAACCATGATAACACTACATGATCACTCTTTCCCACTGGACTGCTTGCCTCCAAGTTGTCTATCATAAGTTCTTCAGTACTAAACACCAAGTCCAGCTGTGATGGGGTACAACCCTCTCTAAATCTTGTCGGGAAACTTACATGCTGGAACAGCAATAGATCCTGGACCGATTCATAAAACATAGCAGCATCAGAGTCATCCGGCCCCCTTACTAGTCCTGCTTCCCAATCTATTTGCCCATAGTTAAAATCCCCCATCAGTAGTATACTTGAAGCTTGAAACCTTCTAGCACGCCCAACAAGGTCAATCAGTCTCTCATTGTTGTCAAATGTACTTGCCGGACTTCTGTAACATAAGCCGACAAGGATCCTGACTGCCCTTGTTGGCTTCACTATACACCAAACTGATTCTTTGTATGGCATTTCGTTAAGTTCCATACACTCAGAGACCGTTAGGCTGTCCCGAACCAACAACATGACGCCTCCTCCGAGTTGATCATCAGGTCGGTCCTTTCTAAAAGCTGCATGATAACCCTCCATCACAAACACCTCTTTTTGCCAAACTTCAGTCAGTCCAATCACATCAGGATTTTCTTGCTGTACTCGACATTTAAGTTCATCATGCTTGTTTGACAGGCTATTGATATTTGTATACATACATTTCAGGGACTTACTTGTACTTTGTGTTTTCTTGTCCCTTTCTGCAGGCTTACTGTCTCGGGACAACTTTGCCCCGAAAGACTCTGTGTGTCTCTCGTCCTTTTGCTATCAGCTCCTCCCTTAACTTCTTCTGAACTTCCCTCTCCTCAGGTGTGAGGTCTCTTGTCAGGTATACATTGTCAAACGTTGTTTTACGTAAGTCCCATCTCTTGCTCATGAGTGCTTCCACATGCTCCTTCTTCTTCAACCTCACCAGCATCAGCCTTGGTTTGGGCTCTTCTTCTCCATTTTCACTCTCCCTTTTCTTTCCCAGTCTATAGATCTTGTCTACCTCCATATTTCCTTCTCCGAGCAGAGCCTCCTTTATGTTACTGAAACTTTTCAGGTCATAGCCTTTCCTCGCTTCTGGGTCACTTGACTTACTTTCTGGTACATTGTGAATTATCAAATTCACTTCTCTCTTCTCTTTGTCCTCCTTCCTTTCCACCAGTGTTTTCAACTCTTGTGCGCTTTTCTTGAGCTCCGACTGGAGCTTTGGCATTGTCTGTACGACTTCCTTTTGTGCCTCAAGTGACTTGTCGACTTGGGCTTGCTGCTTGTTCATTACCTCCACCACTACTTTCTCCAGAGCATTGATTTTTTCTTCCAACTGATTGTTCTGATCCGGTTTGGGACCCGACACTTTGAACACTCCGATGATCTTTCTTTCTACTGCCTCTAGTTTATCTTCAAGCCTCTTTCCCATCCGCAGCACATCCATCAGGTTTGGCTTACATGTCATGCAGAGCCAAAGGAGCTCACTGTCTGATATAGCCTGAAATGCCTTATCATCTAGTCCCTGACAGTTTGGATGGAACCACTGTTCACAAAGATCACACTGGATTGAATCTTCCCCATCAGCTACAGCAAGGCCACATACCTTTTTACCTCCTTTACAGGTGTACTTGGTCTTTCTCGTCTTCCTACCTTTCTTCCGCCATGCTCCACCTTCACCTTCGTCGGCCTCTTCTCCATCAACGTACACACATTGACTATCTGCATTTTGCGACGACGCGTTGGAGCCCAGCCGGGCTCTGGTGGACATGTTTGTGAAAGTGCAAAGTCTTGCTAACAGCTAAATATTTTGAATATTTTTTTATATGTTTTCTACTTAATTTTCAAGTCTCCTGTGATTTTGCAGCAACTTGTGCTAAACCAAAACAATTTTCTTCTGAAACATTTAGTTATCAATCGGCGAGTCTTCAAAACAAACCGGGACCGGGACCACAAGGTCAAGGGCTCAGGTGGCGAATTCGGCGCACGACCGGACAGGGCGAGGAGTGGGAGGGAACAGTTATGGCTTAGCTAGTTATGTTCATTCTTGCCATGGAATTGCAGCTATTTTCACTATTCACTGATTATCAATTGCATTGATCAGATCAAAAACTTCAAATCTATTTAACATTTTTGCTAGTTAACCTCAGTAAACACATGGCTATTAATAAGCCTAATGTTTCTAATCTGTTGTAGCATAATATTCATATTTGATCACTTAATTCTACAATTACATAACAGATGATTTACATCAATATCAATGATATGGTATTATGGAGACTCTCTTTAATTTTGTATGTGTGAATGGGGAAAGGCCAACCACTTTACTTTGCGGGGTGGTAAATGGTGTCACTCCAGTGGCTAGTTTGGGTGCTGGTGCTGTTTTCTGGGTCAGTATATTTGCTCTTGGGTCTTGCAGTGCCCATTTGTCTCCTTTATTGTCAGAGATGCTATTTCACAAACCCTGTCATATTTACTGTTCATTTCATCATGCAGTTTTTACAGTGATGGTTTGTGAGTTTCATTGTTTTCTCATTTGTGGGAGTGCCATGTCAGCATCAGAACTTGAAGCATTAAAAGTTCCCAGCTCACCCTCAGACATTTGATTAGGACGTGTCAAGAGTCATGGGATAACATTTATTTTAATTCAATTTTAAGGTGAATTGTGCGTTTAGAATTTTGCTCTTAGATGGGTGGGCTTATTGAATGGAAATGCACCTAATCTGAATTTACCAAACAAAATTGTGCATCTCACTGTGTTGTCTACTTAGTTTTGGTTAGCATTGTTTCTCACAATATGTTTTCAATGACAGCCTTAGTTGGAACTGGCTGTTTATAATAAGTTTATTGTTTCATGTCATTTTTCTGTCAAAATGATAGCTTTTTAAATGCTGTTGACAGAAACCAACCATAGTTGCTCTGTCAGGTCCCATTAATTTAAAATTATGTACCTCAGGACTCATGCATTACAAGTTGTTCACAGTCTCACAGGCTCTTTGGCCCTTCAGCTAAATGAATGCATATTCACTACAATTACATTATCATAAAAATCAGTCCATTAGTTTGATAGTCAAAGAAAGAGGCTGACATTTTCCAGAAAAGCTCTTTGAGATGATGTGCATGCCTCAGATTGGAGTTCGTTGGTACCCTATGTAAGTTTTAGCCATGCATTTGCATTTACCATCAATAGGGGTTGTTCTTATGATTTATGTGTAAATTAACTCAATCCTTGCCGGTAGGTACTGGCATTTTGTCAGCGTCTAACATATTCGCCCCCTGACCGTGCGAATATGTTAAACGCTTTTCTCTCGCTTAGCGAGAGAAAAAGAACGAGCGTGCTGCCCGTGGCTAGAACAATCTGATGGTACTAAATTTTGAAGTCCTAGGTCATTGGCTTGGCTGACCTTCCAGGTCAGATCAATGACCCAAAAGTCGGGGAAATCGGGACCTGCTAGAACACTGCATGAAGCAGTGTTCTCAAATTGATTTTTGGTTGGGTGTGCCGATGAAGAAAAAAATCATAGGATGAGAAAAAAGGAAATAAATAACCGAAGTATATTTGTAAAATGGTGTAATGCCAATTTGTATGCCAACTGATAAACCAGGATTTCATGTCAGAATCTTGACAGGGTGTGAAACAAAATGATGTGGGTGCATCAACTGTCAAGTGACATGTATGGCTGTTGGAAAGACATGAAACTTTTTTTTCAGAGTTGAAGTTAAGTCGGTCATTCATATTTTAGGGATGAAAGCATTTTCCCCATTAGGTGTGATTTGCCACCAAAAAGTCTGAAAAATGGAACACTGGCATGAAGTGAGGTTGTTATTTTTGTTTTGTTTTGGCGGGGGGGGGGGAGGGGCGGGTGGGTGCTGATCACGGATTTCATGTTGGTTTTGATCACAGATGATATTCTTTAGGCCGAGTCGGGTCAGGTCAGGTTATCCAGGAGGCCTCCAGCCGGCTATCCATAGGCATCCAGTTAACCACCACCGACAGCTTAGTAACATGTTACGAAGACAGCTTCGTAACATCCATGTTACAAAGGAACCAAAACTTCGTGAATGTTCAAATGGGTGCTGAATTCTTCATCAGCCAAAAATTACCCGAGGAACATGCAAAACTCGTAAAAGTGAACGAAGGTCATTAAAGGTCAGTGACAGTCACTTGACCTGACCCTTACGCGACCAAAACCCACCATACTGCATGGGACCAACATATTTTCATATGTTTGAACGTTTAAGAACGCAAACAGACTGGAAACGCGTGCATAATGTGAAATGACATACGCCGAATCGCAATTGCGGCCCAACATGGTCTCGAGAAACAGGTCAATTGTTGGGTCAGGGACATGCAATTTTTAGGGTAGGTGTAAAAATGATCATCTAGAATGTACTGAAAGTTTCGTCGCGATCATCCGCTTTTTGCGCTAGTTATTCGCGGAAAACCCGTTGGACTGCTATAACTGCGAGGGTTAGTATAGATTTTGCATTAAAAATTTTCCTCTCCTTTCTAAATATGTAAATGCTGTTCAGTTCCTGCAGATTGCGAACTGGTCCAATCGTGTCACCTTTGTTCATAATCCTGATTTGCTACACTCCACTCCCTGAACAATCTTATGCTTATTTTTTTGCATTGACTCGTATGACCTGTCGAGGAAGACAACGATGTAAGATGTTCTTGGTCTCACACTCCGTTTTTTTTGTCTTCAACGGAATCGTACAATTATTTTACAATACGACTGGTCAAAGTAGCATCGGAACTGTCGTTTTTACAACCAGTAGCACCGAATTTAGAATCGCCAGAGTATTTGCTATTACCTATTACTACAAGAGTTATTACTACAGATTTGTATTTGCTATTTGGGCACTACGTTATGAGGAAATGATCAGCGACTGACGAACGCGATTACGTTGTCATGTAATGAAAACATGTGAAAGGTGATGGAAGCGACATTATCCTCGATGAACTGAGAACTCAACACACCGTAGCTCAGATGCCAGCTCTGTGGCTCATTCGGAAGAGATTCGTCTGATTCGCGGTGGTGAGACCTGGATTCCAGTAGCTCAGACGCACGATATGATACTTTCGACCACTAATCATGGTCTTTGGTTGGCGGGAGAAGCCGTAGCCAGTTGAATCCACTAAGTGGAATGGACCCTGTCCGTCTATTTAGGCACGTCCATTTTGTCTTTTCACTGTTCCTGGCTTCGTCAATTTGTACCATTAGCTGGACTTCTCAAGATAATTCAGTGATAGTTCTGGCCAGCTACGCTCTCGCCAGTCACTGCCACTATACAGAGGATGAGTCAAAACGTATGCGTCCATAGTCCACACACCAAAGTGGTCAAAGGTTCGGGGCACAAAGTCCAATTTTGGTTGACTTCGGAATATGTTAGAGAGATAAAAGTGGGATGATCCGAGTACCGATATGTAATGTAAATGATGGTGCGCCGTTTGTTGTCGGCGTACCCGGGCCTTTGCTGGGCTGCGTTCACGGTGCCAGGGAGACTAGTCATTGATTTGTTAAGGGGATGTCAGGCCAACCACAAGGAGTGGGCGGGTCATGTTAGGAGACACCGGCGCGGCGGTGACACAGTGGGAGGGCTCAGTGACCGGTACCGGGGGCGGCACATTTACCGGAGGCGGTGTGGCCGGGACCTACCGCCGGTAATGGCGGCACAAGTATCACATTGTGAAGATGACCTAGCACATTATGCCGTATCTTCACACATTGGCCATTGGGATTACAGGAACGGATAATGACCAATGTGCAAATAAATCACCCAGCAAATACGTGGGCTCTTTGGGAGCGCTCGCAGCGCTGGACGTGCGCCAGTTATCGTAGGAAAGTGAACGGACTTCGTGACAACATAATTTGCTGTTTGAAATTATGCATTGTAACAAATTGGGGCATCCCGTAAAATAGTTAAGTCTAGATTCGTATAGTCGCCAGCTTTGAGCATCTTCACACATGACCATTTCATTTCGAAACTCGAATTATCAATATAATCAGGTCTAAAAGGCCTTACGGGGGTCCTACACGCGCACGTCTCTAGAAGCGCTAAGTCAAGGAATCATGTCTGAAAGGTTTACCAGCACCTCGATCCGCCCGCTTCAGTCTATGTTGGCTGAGTCACGGGGTTCAGTTGCGGGTGGGGGTCGTCTTACCACAGCCCGGAGCGACGACCTTGGACAATGGAGCCACAGTGGCGTGGCCCGGTATTTGTGTGAAGGGCCACCGCGCCGAGTGACGAGTGGAAACGTCGACTCAGTGTTGTTGCTCGGACGACTGCATTTATAGCCAGCGTCTCATAAGCACACGGCTAACATAACGAACCGAGCTTCGACTTCGTTGTTACTTCGCTCCATCCATGATCGTTCGTCATCAGAATCTATTGAACCTTTTTCCTCCAATCGCATTTTCCTTTAGTTTGTTGTAACCACAAGTTTTCTTTTTTACTCTCGCCGTATCCCCGCGTTCGAATCTCTCGGACGACGAAGATTCTACGTCGTCCGGCCAATCCCGTCCAAGGTCAGCGGGGGCTCGGCTGATGTTATGGAACGTGATTGGCCGGACGGCGTAGAATCTTCGCGTCCGAGAGACATCGAACGCGGGGTCTATCAAAGAAATTAATGAGCGGCCTTTAAAAGGACAACACAACGTAATGGCTCTAAAAGAACGATTTTGACGAGACACACATTAGCCTGTTACGTCCTCTCAATGATAGAACATGGGACCTACCTGCAAACACAGCCGTGTTGCTGCTCCTCAATGGATCGGGTTTCATGATCGGTGGGGGGGGGGGGGAGAAGTGGGGGAGGGGATGTCACACCAGTCTGATGGCATTAGCACTGAGTGAGGTGGTGTCCGATTTCACCGGCCCTGGGAAGGCAGGTTCACGCTAATATTAGTCGCCGGCATTGTCGATGGGTATCAGGATACAGCACGAACCATTTAGCGCACTGAACCCCTATCGGTGGTCAATATCCGAATTTTGTTAACTTTCCGACGTTACTTATCACCTTGGAGGGGACGCAGCCGACGTTTGGCGCGGACGGTACACTCGATCATACCCTTGATACCCCCATGTAACTTCCTATGTCGAGATACGGTGCCCGCGGCACGATTCACTTACGCCAGCCCGTGGGGATGGGTTGGGGTGGGGGGGGGGGGGGAGTTGGGAGGGTGTAAATGTCACCGGTTCGTGCCCATGAACCACCAGGGACTGCCTGAGAGTCGCTGACCTTCCTCGCCTACTCATACCAACTTAGGCACTCAATTACTTATATAAACGTTATTTTAACTATTGTATAAGGTATATTCAGTTACGATTTCGCTTTATCTGTTGATACTCGTTTTATGTGTTGACTATACCAGTTGCTGGGCGTCTATCTCGTTGGTGATTATGCATACGAATGATAAGCAATCTGTGGAGCTATAGCATTGTGATCATTCCGATCGGTGAAACGCACTGTTGGACGAGGGCGGGACCATTATTGGACTATGTAGTTTTCAAAATCTGGATTACTCTATGGCATAGAATGGTATGGCATGACATTTTGACCCTTTGGGTCATTGTCCTGATGAAGAAATGCTGATACTTTAAAGCACTGGAAATGATAATCGATTTCAACAGAAAATTTGTAGAAATTTAACATCTAAAAAACTCGCCAGCAGGCCAGCTAAACTAAAAAAAGAACGGTTTCATGCCAGAACGCTGTGAAGTGTCTAAAGGAGGGGGGGGGGGGGAGGTGTTGGGAATGCATTTCGTCGAGTTGATATCCTAATGCAAAACAGTTATGTTAAATGCAAACTAATACGCACCCATTGAAAATGCTCAGGTTCAAATCAAACCATTTATGCAAGCGATTCTCAGCGACGAGTGCTCCTTATCTGGAAGCTTCTCATCTGAGGAACGTCGCTTCATATTCGCCATCTTCATATTCGGCCGCCATAAAATTGTTGTGCTTGGGAGGTCAACTTTTAATTGTGAGCACTGGTGCCTGATGGTAAATGCTGTATCAGTTTGTCACCTGACTTACCATCTCGCTTTGTTGCAGGGCTGGGGGGCAGGATCCAGCGGCAAAGAATGACAAGCAGATGACAAACTCTGAGGTGAGTTTAGTTCTTCCGAGATATTGTGTGCGATCCTAACTTTCTAATCGGCATTGATGAGCTACTTTCAAAATGAAGCTGGGTGAGCTATGCTATGGATATTTGTCAGCCCTCTTTGTCTTTGCTCTAACAATTTCCCCGAAAGTGCGCACTTTTCTATTGTATTGCGGGGAGCACGACATTTTGCAGTCAATGCGCCACCATGGTGCTAGCACCAAAAGAATATGCATTAGCCATGTCACTCGCCACCGCCAGTAATGTCCCTGTATAGAAATGTGTCTGATGACGGCCGGTGTGTGCGCCGCTGTGGTCCGGCTGGGATGGAGCGAGTGCGCCGGCCGCTGACGGCCCTCTGTTTTCCAGAGGCCGGACGGAGCCGCGGCGGCGGTGGCGGCAGCGGCCAAGCCGGACGGCGACTCCAAGGAGAAGCCGCCGGCCGACGATGACGGCTTCCCGGTGGTGGACCCGGAGTACCGCGGCCCGGTGCAGCCGGCCTACATCCGGCCGCACGACCAGCCGCGCTACAACTCCAACCAGCTCCAGTACCTCTCCAAGGTGCTCAAGACCCTGTGGAAACACCAGTACGCCTGGCCCTTCCAGGTGCCGGTCGACAGCGCCCGGCTCAACCTGCCCGACTACCACAAGATCATCAAGAAGCCCATGGATCTGGGCACCATCAAGAAGCGGACTGAGAACCTGTGGTACCGGTCCGCCAAAGACTGTATAGAGGACTTTCAAACGCTATTTACAAACTGTTATATGTACAACAAGCCCGGTGAGGACGTGGTGCTCATGGCACAGACCCTAGAGAAAATGTTTTTGACTAAAGTGTCGCAAATGCCGCAGGAGGAAGTGTTCATTGAGGTGCCTCCTAAAAACGCGAAGGGTAAAAAGGGTCGGCCGTCGGCGACGGGCGTGGGTAGGGGCCGGCCGGCGTCGGCCGCCTCGTCCGTGTCGCCGGGCCGCGACTCTCCGGCGCCGCCGGCCGCCGCCACCGCCACCGCCGCCAAGCCGCCGGCGCCGCCGCCCGCGCCGGCCAAGCCCGCGGAGAAGGCGGCACCGCCGGCCGGCTCCAAGGCTCCGTCTGGGCCGGCGGTGCCGGGCTCCACGGCTTCCACCACCGTCCCGACCGTACCGGCAGCAGCGGCGGCGGCCGCCGGAGCGCCCGGCCGCGGCGCCGACAAACAGGTGGGTACACTGAGCGCACTGAGTGGGGAGGGCGCCGTGCCGCAGTCTCTGCGTGCCCATGGCGGTCTGTCCTCGGCTAATAGCGAATGTTGACGCTTAGAGACTGTTTGAGGTGACTGAGGCATCAATCGCATTGTCGCAAAGAGCGCACTTAGGCTGGAGAAAAGCTTGGCCTCGTGGGGAACGATCTGTCAACCCCACTGAACGGTTAACATATCGTAACACGTGTTGATGTGTCTTGGTGGGGCCTCGTCCGTAGTTTAACTAGGCTATACCCGAACTGATGAACGTTGCTTAGGTCGCGAAAGTCAGCCCTCCTTTGTTGGTTGCGCTTCGCACTCTCCGCCGGCCGTGTAACCCTGAAGTATCGTTCCACCGTGTCGCAGACTGCAGCTGCGACCGCCAGTCCTGCCGGCCATCCGGCGACATCTCCGAGTGCCACCTCCGACCCGCAGGCGTCTGCGCCGGCCACCGCTCCGCACAAGGTGAGTGATGCGCCGGCTACCGCTCTGCACAAACCGTAGCGTGATTGTGTAGCAACAGAAAGGTTTTGCTTTGTACTTTTTAGACTATCTGTGTAATTTCAGGCGTGGCAAACTCACTGTGTGGAGCCGATAAGTTGCTGTCAGAGATTGTTGTTGCGTGTGGCTTATTATTCTTTCTTTCCTGTCGCCCACATCACATGCTGGCTGTGTCTGACCAAGTAGGCTCCTCTGCAGGTCAATAAGGGCGTCAAGAGAAAGGCGGACACGACAACGCCGGCGATGGCGGGCCCGCCGGAGCCGCCGTTCGCCGCCTCTGAGCCCAAGGTGGCCAAACTGGGCAACAAGCGGCGCGAGTCGGGCCGACAGATAAAAAAACTCGTCAAAGACCTGCCCGACTCGCAGGTGCCGCCGGGCAAGAGTCGAGAAAAGATGCAGGACTCGATGAGGGCCTGCAACGAGATTCTCAAAGAGCTTTTCTCCAAGAAACACTCGGTGAGTTGGTTTGGGGCACTTTATTTTCATGATAACTGTCCCATCCTGTCACTAATCACTATAATATTCGTTGTCTGGTAATTCACCAGCTTCTATCTTGCTCCACCGCTGAAGAAGACTGTGCCAGGCCCGTTTTTACGCACCTGTTCCGCTCAGTGTCCTGCCCGTTGGACCGTCGCCGGGGCGCCGTGGACCGCGTCCTACGAGCTCCCGCCGTCTGACCCCTGCCGCCTCCCTCACTCCCCAGGCGTACGCGTGGCCGTTCTACAAGCCGGTGGACGCGGAGAGCCTGGGTCTGCGCGACTACCACGACATCATCAAGCAGCCCATGGACCTGGGCACGGTGAAGCAGAAGATGGACGCCCGCGAGTACCGCTCGCCAAAGCCGTTCGCCAGCGACGTGCGACTCGTGTTTACCAACTGCTACAAGTACAACGCGCCCGACCACGACGTGGTCGCCATGGCCAGGAAGCTGCAGGATGTCTTCGAAATGAGGTGAGCCGATCGCACTGTGTCCGGGGTGGGCCGCGCGGCAGGGCGGGCCTGCCGTACCTGCGGGAGCGTGGGCAATGCGCAGCTGCGAACAAGCTTTACATACTGACCATAATTATATCGATTATATGTTCCGTTCGAAATGTAAAAGATGCTCGTGATGTGAGAGCTGTGGTCTGTGACTGCCTGAACCGTCTGAGACTGCGACCGCCGGTTTTTGTGACGTTACTGACTGTCCGGACTGTGTGTACCCTATGATGTGACCTTTACTGACTGTCTGGCCTTTGGCAGGTTCGCCAAGATCCCGGAGGAGGGCGACGAGGAGCTGTCGGCCGGGGCACGCTCGAGCTCCGAGTCCGACTCGGACGCCTCGGAGGTCGAGCGCCAGCAGAAGCTGCTCGTGCTGCAGAACCAGGTGGGTGCGGCCGGACCGCCCGCTGGCAGCCGCCGCGGTCAGAGGGGTGCTACTGCTGTGGGGTCCAAGGGGCTCAGCTCTGGAGCTGCTCTGTCGGTTCCCTGTCTCGTTGGCTTTGTGTCCGGTCCTGTAGCCGTCCGCCGGCCGTGTTCCGTCCGCGTTGGTGGTAGGTCGGCTGCTGTCTGGTGTTCCGGTCCTGACGGCGTCTGACGGCTTCACGTCTCCGTTCACAGCTGCGGATGGTCCAGGAGGAAATCAACAGCCTCATCCAGGAGAGCCTCTCCAAAAAGAAAAAGGAGAAAAAGAAAAAGAAGAAGCGGGACCGGGACCGGGAGGGCGCCGCGCTGCTGCCGCCGCTCGCCGGCGGTCTGGCCGGGGCGCCGCCGGCCGCCGGCGCCGCAGCCGCTGCCGCTGGTAAGGCTGCCAACGCCAAGGCGGCCAAGCCGAACGGCGCCAAGGCGGCGGCGGGCCGGCGGCCGCGCGCCGGCAAGGCCGCCGGCGGCAAGAAGAAGGGCGGCGCGGACGCGCTGGGCTCGTACGACTCGGACGAAGAGGACACGGCGCAGCCCATGTCCTACGACGAGAAACGCCAGCTCAGCCTGGACATCAACAAGCTGCCCGGCGACAAGCTGGGCCGCGTGGTGCAGATCATCCAGGCCCGCGAGCCGTCCAAACGAGACTTCGATCCGGACGAGATCGAGATCGACTTCGAGACGCTGCGGCCGTCCACGCTGCGGGAGCTCGAGTCGTACGTGGCCAGCTGCCTGCGCAAAAAGCCGCGCAAACAGCCCGACAAAAAGGCGGCCAGCAAGGCGCGGGACGAGTCGGACAAGAAGCCCGAGCTGGAGAAGCGTCTGCAGGCGGTGACGGGCCAGTCGGGTGCTCCGGCGGCGGCCGCTGCCGCGCCACCGGCGGCGCCGGCGGCTGCCACCGCGGCCGGCAAGAAGTCGGGCCGGAAGGAGGGCGGCGGCCACCTGTCTGCCTCGAGCAGCAGCTCCTCCGACTCGGACAGCAGCTCGAGCAGCTCCAGCTCCTCCAGCTCCGACTCCAGCGACTCCGAGCCCGACGAACCCAAACGCAAAAAGAACAAGAGCAACAAGGCGGCGCCGCAGCCGCCCCCGGCTGCCCCGGCTGCGCCGGCGCAGCCGGCGGCAGCAGCAGCGACCGGGGCCGGTGCCAACGGAGCGGCGAGCCAGCCGGCGCCGGTGGCGACCGCGCCGGCCACCTCGGCACCGGCGGCGAGCGTGGCACAGGCAGTCCCGTCGGCGAGCACCAACGGTCAGCCGGAGCCGACGCCGCCCGTCTCACTGACAGGTGCGTGCCAGCGACGGAGTTCTTAACGGCCCCACGCCGTATGTCATAACATAATTTTTACTTTCTGTTGAAACTTTTTTTCATGAGGTTCAAGTAATTTTTTATGCAAAGTTCTTTGTGTTTTGTCTGTTTGACACAGTTGTTACTCATCGGAGTGTCAATTTCCCTCCCGCTAATTGCTGCTGTATGTGGTCTGTGACCGTGTGTGTGTGTGTGGTGCCGCCGGCAGGTACCGTTCCCTCGGTGACCGCGGGCCCGGCGCCGGCGGTCTCGGCGGCGGCCGGCCCTGTGCCGCCGCTGGCCGCCGGCCCCGAGCAGCCCGGCGCTCCGGCCGCGCCGACCGTGTCGCTGTCCTCGGCGCTGCCGCCGGCAGCCGCGCCGCCGCCGCCGGAGCTGGCGCCGGCCGCGCCGCCCGCCTCCAGCACCGACAGTGAGTGACGGCAGAGACCGCGGGCCCAGGCTGTGTCGTCCAGCTGATGACGGCTACTGCTCGCCAACTATTCTCCTCTCAGTGCGAATTATGGTCGACTTTGTCATCGGTGACTTAATTTAGGTCCGACAGGGGATTGAGTGAGGCCTTGCCGTATGATGCTATGTCCCGTCCTGTGAGGATGATTCAGGCTTGAAATGGGGCGATGTCAGATAAGGACGTCATGTTGAAGCGGTGGCTTCCAGGCGTGCTAGCCTCGAAACTAAACCACCATGATTGTATCAGACGCAATATTTTGCAGACGGCATTTACACATTAGCTCAGCAGCTGATCAAACTGAAAGTGTCAGACTGCAGGTTTCCGTCGTTTTTCGGTTCGCTGTGTTAATAAGTTTGCTGTTTTTCACAGACGGCATCGGAACTGAAACTTCTACGGACGACAATTTGTTCGACTCGCCTATCAAAAATACTCCGGCCAAGGTGGCGGTAAGTACTTATTTAACCCGCGCACCGACGGGGGGGGGGGCGGATATCCGCCCCCCCCCCCCTGAGGTTTTTCGCGAATAGCGGGAAAACCGCGGCGCGTAGCGCCGCGAAATTTGGTATGACTATATTCCCTCATCAATTTTACACATGGTGTGCAAGTTTGAACCTCCTACCTTTCAAGGTCAGGTCACCAGGTCACTTTGAATGACCCAACCTCAAGTCACTTTTTTGCAACTTTGTCACCGTGCCAGAGCTACAGTAGATGTCGGAGGCCTTTGAAAGTCGCAGGATGTTATTAGGTCATTAGTAGCTACAATTTGTATATCTCGGAATTTTGATATCGGTGACCTAAGGTCAGGTAAATTTCGCGACCTCCCCATTATAAGTCAATGGGGGAAAAATCAACTCCCTGCTTTTACCACTAAAACGGGTCGGAATGGCCCCATATACCATACATGACTTCATATACGATCAACCTTCACTACCTTGAGGTCTGTTTTGCTGTTGGGCAGCTGTGAGGTCATGTGACGTCATCAAAGGTCACCAAAGGTTTTTGGCCAATAACTCCGTACAGGAACAAGATACAGACGCGTGGATGGTCTCATTGTGTTCAGCTCGTCAAGACGCATCGAATGATATACATGATGACCTCGAGGTCACGTGACCTGAGGTCAACCTTTGACCTTGACCTTTCGAGGTCAACATATATATCATTCGATGCGGATTGACGAGAGGATCACGATGCTGCCCTTAGTTTGTTCCTATCTTGACTAATTCGAAAGTTATTCGAGAAAAACTCTCTCCATATTCAGCGCCGCCATTTTGACTTTTTCGACCCCTGTGACGTCATCTTTGACCTGACCTGAAAATGACCTTAGTAAAAATTGTAGATCTTGACCGTGCGTATCCGATGCTGTTTACCGCTTGTCGCTATCTTGCTTCGTTCTCGAGATCTCAGGGGGGGGGGGCGGTCATCCGCCCCCCCCCGTCGGTGCGAAGTTGGCGCAGACCCCCGTCGGTGCGCGGGTTAAACTCATTATCTTAGTGAACTTTCAACTCAGACATCATTATCTTTCCTTGGCCTGACTACTGAATAATATGGCTGAGCTATATTTGTCTGGAACGTTCGTTACGAAGCTCATGTTTCTTTATTTGGATTTCTCCTCCAGTTTGTTTGTAAATACCGACCACCCGTCCATGCCCGCGGGCTGACCTGTACTCGGTGCCGTCCGGTGTGTGCTGTGCAGAACGTGAGCTCGTGGTCGACGCTGGCGCAGTCGGCCGCCACCCCATCCACCACGCCCATCAACATCCAGCCGTCACACATGGACTCGGCGTTCCAGCAGTTCAAAAAACAAGCCAAGGAGAAGGCAGACAGGGTGAGTCGCCGCGCCGCTCCGTGTCGTGTCTGTGTGGGAGGGGAGGGGAGCAAAAAATTTCGGGGTTGTGAGTTGTGACGGGAGTCTCCCCGGTTTCATTGGCACTGTGTGGTGAAGTTTTGACCTTTCTGGGTGTGTATTCAGCGCTATAATTGGCGTAGCTGTCTGGAGATAGGGATGTGACGTGGTGAGGGCATGACTAACTCCTGGCTGGTTCGTGTGTCGGAGGTTTGAACGTGTGTCGGGCCGTCATGGCTGTCTGTAGGGAGTTTGTAATGTGTGTCGACTGTTAGCAGTTGGCTGACACCGCGGCCCTGTCCGTTCTCAGCAACGTCAGCTGACGGAGCAGATGGAGCAGCGGCGCGTGCAGAAGGAGGCGGCCGAGCGCGAGCGGCAGCGGCAGGACGCCGAGCGGCGCCGGGAGCGGCAGGGCGAGGAGCTGCTCGAGCGGCTCTGTCGTCTGAAGCAGGAGCAGGAGGCCGCCGAGGAGGCCGCCCGCAAACAGGCCGAGGCCGCCGCCGCCGCCAAGGCCGAGGCGGCCGCCAAGGCGGCGGCGGCGGCGGCCAAGGCGGCCCACCCGCCGGCCAGCGCCAGTCCCAAGTCCGCGCCGCCGCCGCCGCCGCCGCCGGCGGTCAGCACGCCGTCGGCGGCCGCCGGAGACCGGGAGCGCGCCAGGATGAGGGAGCAGGAGCGCCGGCGACGCGAGGCGGTAAGTCAAGTTAGGGCGGGAAGGACCGTCAGGGGCACCGCTGTGTAGGTATCGGCCTCCGCTGGCTCCATTCAGACATGATTATGACTAATTGAACGCTAATGAATATGAGGCATGACTGAGTGCAGTTCGATAGATTTCTGGGGCCGTATTCACGTCGACTTCGTAAGTCGATTTTCTTTCCTAAGTATAATTTGGTATTCACGTCGACACTTCGTAAGTTTTTATCGACGGAGTTCACGTGATTAAAAAAAATCCTAAGAATTAGGTCATGCGTAAAAAAATTCTTACGAAAATGATCGACGTGAATACGGCCCATCCCAAATGAACCTCAGGGACGCACCATGAGGTTGCTTGTCTAAAGTCTTGTCCTGAGCGCAAATGACCCGTGTTCGACCCGCCCCCCCCCCCCTCCCCAAATTAGCCAACTGAAATCAGAGTTGTGTGTTGATTAGAGATGTCAATCGGATACCAACTTTTTGATACACCGATACCAAACCGATACCAAGTTGGTTTGGTATTTCAAATGTGTTTGATATTTTGTTGGTATTGTTACCTCTCACCTATGTATAAGAGGCTGAGAATTTGGTAAAATGTTGGTATTCCCTTCATGTTTCCAAGTTGGTTCTGTTTCGGTATTCCTTTACGTTTTGGTTGGTATTTGGTTTGGTATCGGTATTTCGATTTTCTGTATTTGTCATCACTAGTGTTGGTGTTCTGTGCGATTTTTATCGCTGCCCTATCTGTGTCACAGCGCGAATTGGTGCTGACGCCGTTGTTCCATCTTTTCACAGATGACAAGCCAAATCAACATGAACTCACAGAGAGACTTGATTGCACAATTTGAGGAGAACCTGAGCAATTACTGACGGGCGCCGTGGCCGCTCTGCCGGCTGCGCTGGGCCCTGACCGGTGCGGCGTGGTCGCCACCCGCCCCTCATGGATGTATTTATTAGATGTTAACTGGTGCGCGCGCGCGGGAAGTGAGAGTGTGCGAGAGAGATGGAGAGTATGTGAGCGGCGCTCGGCCCGGTGATAGTGTGTCGGCGCCCACTCCTCAGCAGCCCGCACAGGCGCCTCGGTGTGCGTGTGCGTGCGCGCGTCTGTGTGTGCGACTGTGAGCGGGCGTGGGGGCGCCGGGGCGCGCGGCGCCCGGCGCCATTCAGCTGTTCAACAGGTACCTCGAGCATGGCGCGCGCGCCGGCCAGCCTACTGGACTGGTTTTGGTATCCAAAACTGTGCAGACGGCGGCCGCCGGCCAGCCCCCGGCGCTGCGGCCGCCGCGGGCGGAGCTTGAGGCCGGCCGGCCGGCGGGCCGCGTGGCCCCGGTCCGCCCGCAGGGCCGCGCGGAGCGTATCTGTGCTGCGCTGGTTCAGCATCTGCCTAGCCTTGTTTAGCAAGCGTTCCGTCAAATTTTCCGGTATGGTTGGCCGTGCTCGCCCAGTGTGATCATGCCCCTTGATTGTCATCAGAGCTCTCTGGTCTTGGTTGGACGCTGCCCTTACCGCTGCAGTTTTAGATCGGCAACCAAGGCCTTGTAAAGTTTTGTAAATGAGACTATATTTTGTGTACAGTACAGGCAATAGAGAATCCTGGCTGGTACTAGCACGCCGTGCGTCTCTGGTGGGAGGGGGCGGAGGGCCGGGGCCGGCAGACGACCGGACGAGCTACTGTCAAAGTGGACCAACTGTGATCTGAGTGACGTCTGAGCCCAGACGGTGCGACCCTGTTCACCGATTTCACGATCATTGTGGAGAGAGACGGCGGCCGAGCGGCTGCCCAACACTCCGGCGGGGCCGGCCGCCACAATCACGGCGGGGACTGCGCAACTTATGCCCACCAACATGATGTCAACAATTGTTTGCAATGGTTGAATACGAACGTCCATTACTATGTTCTGTTTGTTTTTGTTTAGTTTTGTTGACTGGGCTGGCCGGCGGTGGTCAGATATGATCGCTGTATGTACACCGTTAGTTCTTACCTCGGTGTCGGGTCCCGACTCGGTGGGCCACGCCGCCCTGGTCCGACTTCTCTGCGGTCTGGATCCTCGGGACGTCCAGCCTAAACGGAGCCGCGGTCGGCGAGACAGCGCTCCCGACTCGCTCACGGCGCGCCGCCGAAAACGAGAACAGCGTGATTTTGTGGTGTTCTCAGAACACCACAAAAATCACGCTACTGCATATCCGGGCTGGGCCGGACCGACACGCTCAGAGGACAGAGTGGGCTCGCCCAGCTCAACTTGCAGCGCCATATGCACGCCTAACCTCACCGGGCTCGCTATCGCACCGAAGGAACAGTCGTGGCCAGTCGACAGTTTGTGCTGGGGCATACTGAAAGACGTCAGTCCACTTCCTGGGTTGAACAGACTGAATATCCGCAGGCGCGGTCAGAAGGCCAGCACAGTTTTCGGGGAGATGAGATGACGCCTAGCGACGGCCGACTACCTGTAGCTACATTTGCATTTAGTGACATTTTATCTTTCATTTTTTGCTTATTTAGGCTCACGCAACGCCACAAAATATGATGTAGGTGTTAAGATAGAAATCTATGAGATGACAGTTTTATTCAACCGTTCTACTCAAGATTCCTTTACTGTTCTACTTTTGTCGGTATTTGGTACTTCATATGGTAGCTTTTTGCGAACTGTTTTTGGCGCTCTTGTGACGTAAAAAAACGGAAAATCTATTCGACGCATGAGCAACTACGAGCAGCGACCGTTTGTTGCATTTGTTGCCAGGCGATTGAGAGCTAAAGTTGCTTGTTGCTAGGCAACTTGTAGGTTCTGTCTATGGAAAACCTAGAAGCTTGCTATTCGAACTGTTCGAACAGTATATATATCTTTGAGCTCTTTTGACTGATGCAGCATATGGGGATGATCTGCAAATAAACATACAGAACAGAGGTATTATTGGCTGTCGTTTATTTATTTCATTTTGACGTTTTTCCCAGTTATACCGTTGCTCTGACAATTTTTGACATTTTCTATATTAGCCATGTATAGATGGCCTTGTATTGGCCCTCACGTTCTGCTCTCATGTGCTTGCAAAGGTTGTAAGGTGCAAGATTCCTAGACCCCTATGACGGACGCCGGTGAAATCAGGGCGCCGGAGGGCATATTAGTCACGTGACATTTGGAGCTTCTCTCCCTTGGTAGGCCTTCTACATAGGTGGGCATCGTTCCCCAAAATTGTAACTTCGTTACTCGTTCCTCCGTTCCTTCAAAACGTGACTTCCGTTACTCGTTCCTCCGTTCCTCTGCATAAAATGTAACGGAAGTTCTTTAGTCCGTTACTCCGTTACAGCAAAATAAAAAAAAAACGTTAAAATGTTGTGTATTTCACACATTTTAGAGACTATTCTGATACAAACCAAATCTACCGAGAAAGGGGAATGCCCACCAAATCTACCAAGACAGCGGGCACTGGTTGGACACTAAACCTTGGAACGTGGGCTGTTCACGGGCCCTGTGTGCGGTCGGACCGCACACAGCCTCGAAGCTCCGCCCACTTCGTCCCTACGTCAGCCTTCCGTCACCGCACACAGCGATCGCTGTAGCCGGTCGGGACTGGCCACAGCGGACCGTCCACCGCACGCAGCCGTGACGTCAGAGCCGCCTACCCATCCCCTACCCCCACGCCTGCTGGACGCACCGCACACACCGCACGCAGCAGTGTGCGGTGCCCGTGAACACCCCTCTGGTGGTAGGTACTAGTGCGCATCACTTGTCCCCGACCAGATCCCGGGCCCTGTTTCACCGGTGATAGCAGCACGCTGCTATCACGTTTCGCGAGCTGACGTCATGTCATGACGCCATACTGTTGACGTGATGGGCAGTTCTGGGCCCTGTTTCACCGGTGATAGCAGCAAGCTACTATCAAATTGCGCGAGCTGACGTAATGTGATGACGTCATACTGCTGACGTAAGGGGCAATTCTGGCGCACGATTGCCGCAATATTGTTTTACGTCATCAGCTAAATGTTCGAAGTTAAAGGGACCCTCCCACCTTCAAAAAAGTTTATGAATTGGCATGAAAGTGATGTCGCTCGGTTCAGAAAGAGCGAAAACGAATATCTACCAAATTTCACCGAAAAATATTCACCGGTTTTCAAGATATTAGACTTTTACTTTTGTTTACTTTTTTGGAATCTCCGCTGTTTCTAGCGACTTTATTTAGAAGTGCGGCGTTTGCGGCAGATGTTGCGCGCAAATAGCATATACCACCGCGTGCTACAAAACGTTTTAGTCAAACATTTAAAAATCGTTAGATATTTGCGCTGACGTCACACATTCAGAGGGGTATTCCTTAGCATTAGCCCCTCTGAATCAAAATGCTGCAATTTTGAAATTCAATATTTCCGATTTAAGGCATTTCTCGATGTTGTGAGTGCCGAAACCGGTAATTGTGAGCCAGGGACCCCATTTTGGCTATCTCAACTCAAATCTAATGTTAAGGTGGGAGGGTCCCTTTAATGTCCAAATTTTTCCTAAACCCAACTTCTTTTAAATACATCATATTGAAAAAATATATATCAAAAATATATATACTATCATGACTGCGTTAACTCTTACTTTTAGGCTCATACGTCACTTAATGCCGCCGCCAAGGTCGCGGCAATCGTGCGCCGGAACTACCCATTACGACAACAGTATGGCGTCACGACATGACGTCAGCTCGCGAAACGTGATAGCAGCTTGCTGCTATCACCGGTGAAACAGGGCCCTGGCGCACGATTGCCGCGACCTTGGCCGCGGCATTAAGTGACGTATGAGCCTCTAAAAGTAAGAGTTTACGCAGTCATGAAAGTATATTTTTTTAATATATATTTTTTAATATAATGTATTTAAAATAAGTTGGGTTTAAGGAAAATTTGGACGTTAACTTCGAACATTTAGTTGATGACGTAAAACAATATTGCGGCAATCGTGCGCCAGAATTGCCCCTTACGTCAGCAGTATGACGTCATCACATTACGTCAGCTCGCGCAATTTGATAGTAGCTTGCTGCTATCACCGGTGAAACAGGGCCCTGGTTGCCCTTCACGAACACTAGACGTTCCAGGTTTGGCATCTGAGAGTATAGGCGGCGGAACGGGGGAGGGCACCGGCGCACCGTGCCCCCCTTTGATTTTGACATTTTAACATAAGCCTTATGTGCGTTGCATATATAGAAAGAATGGGACCAAAAGTCGGCAGTGCCTCCCCCCTTAATTGAAGATGTTTTGCTGCCACTTTTTGAGAGGGTAGCCCTTTTTGCACGTAGCGCATATCTTTTCCCATTGAGAACACGCGCTCTACTGAGGCGCTTGAAGGGACGCCCGTGTTGAACTGTACGAACACATACTGCAACGCCCAGGCCCATGTCACTCCACTTTTGATGACATCATATGGGGGCCTCAGGACAATAATGGCGCGGCGCGCCACAATCGCTTCAAAGCTACTTGCCAACAGTTGCCATTTTTGAAAATATTATTTTGAAATAAAGTTCCAAGTAATAAAAATATTGTAATAAAGTTGTTGAATAAATCGATACCATATCTAAAAACTTACTGAAAAATGATTTATTCATAGTAAAAATATAAGCTCGATGCGTTTTTACGTTGCTTTCCTTCAATGCAGAGGGTTTTTAAATCGTCTATATCATCAAAACCGGCCATTTCTTAGCATATTGCTGCTCTTTTTTATCGCTAGAAAATTAGTTAGACTTTCCAATGACATCAATGGTTGAGCGATATGTGAGTGTCACCAACAATCTTCAAATGAAGTTAGTCATTTTTACGTTGTAAAGGAATGGAGTACCCCTATCGAGCATGGGTGACATTCATAAGTACCAGAATACAATTGTACCCAGGTTACACCGGGGACCAAGGTTACACAGGGGCCCAGGTTACGTTCGGCCCCAGGATTTGAAGGGACCATGAAGACGCAAGTACCATACTGTGATTGGTCGTTGGCAGACGGGAATGACGTAATGCATCCCTGTGGCGGCCGTGACGTTGACCAATAGGAGGGGCGGATACAAATTTGGACCACCTTGGTACACTACTTGGCAATGTGCTTGTGATTGATTTTCTCGAGATTGAATTGAGGGTAGCGCCGTCCATCGCCCGCCGCGGCGGCGCCCAGGCCCGGTGGTCATCCGGTGTGGCGGGAGGTAGCGTCCCTCGGCCCCCCGCGCGGGCGCGGCGGGAAGTAGCGTGCTGCGGCGTCCGAAGGAGAAGTGAAAATGACCCCTTGCACGAATTAGTGTTCGCAGCGGCTACTTAAATTGCAGGAGGGGGAGGAGGCAGGGGCGTCGCCACGGATTTTTGAGTGGGGTGGGGTCGGGTTTCCGGTCTTCGTCTTGATGGGTAGAGGTGTTATTAGCCACACTCCCGGTTTTTTCATGTGTTGAGAAAAATCTCGGCGCGCAGCGCCACGAAAGCAGCGGTATATCTTATTGTACATACTACATACATCACTTTTGCATCGTGCATAAAAATCAAGCACAGGCCACCTGAGGCCAGGTCACAATGTCATGTTCAGTTCAGTTTTAATGCCTCTAAAAGCTGCAATCTTGTCATTCCTACAGATTTGCCTGTCCCGTAGCTCAGTTGGTAGAGCATTGGACTCCCGGTAGTGAGAGCCCGGGTTCGAGACGCCCCGGCGCTCGATATTTGAGACTCCTGACGGGGATGGTCTGCGGTTGGTGGGAGCAGCCGCAGCCAGTTGAAGTCAGTTGAGTGGGGCAGGCCGTGTCCGGCTTTGAAGGGCACGTTAAACTTTGGCATCTAAATTCTCCCGATACCCGGAATTGCGCGATCGGACGGTAGGGATCGGGGTCTACGCAACAAGCTCTGCTTAGCGTGGGCTCCGGCTCTGTCAATCCGTCCATTCAAACATTCGAGCTAAATTTAT